TTACTGGACGCTTTATTATTGGGCGACAATTACGCGAAAAGTATGGGATTGACCGTTAAAGCGTGCGCGGATTCTGATTATTGGCAGTACAAGCATTTTAGCAGGAGGGATCACTGCCTTTTGTGGTCCGATCGGTTTTATAGGGATAGCTGTACCGCATTTAGCAAGAGCTTTATTCAATACTTCAAGCCACCGTATTTTAATTCCTGCATGTTGTCTGATTGGAACAGTCTTAATGCTCATTTGTGATCTGGTTGCACAATTGCCAGGAAGTCAGACGGTTTTGCCAATCAATGTGATTACTGCACTGGTAGGATCACCTGTTGTGATCTGGATTATTGCAGGGCCTACTAAATTAAGAGGATTCTAATGGAAGCGCAAACCACATTATTACAGACCTCAGCACTAGCCATAGGTTACAAAGCAGGAAAAGGGAAGTCCAAAGTCATTGCCGGGCCTTTAAATTTAGAACTTCATGCCGGGCAGCTTGTTTGTCTGCTAGGCCCGAATGGTTGCGGTAAATCTACACTGCTCAGAACTATCTCTGGATTACAACAGCCATTGAAAGGTGAAATTATAGTGGAAGGTGGAGCGCTGAACAAGCTTAAACCAGCACAAGTTGCAAAAAAAATAAGTCTGGTACTCACTGATAATGTCAGAGCTGGTAACCTGGATGTTTATTCGCTCATTTCATTGGGGCGTTATCCTTATTCAGGGTGGTTAGGCATATTGACTGAACATGACAAACAGATTATTGAACAGGCTATAAAAGCCACAGATACCGAAGCTTTTATAGGCAGAAAAATGGATAGCCTGAGTGATGGAGAGTGTCAGAAAGTGATGCTCGCCAGGGCAATGGCACAAGATACCCCACTGATTATTTTAGATGAGCCTACTGCTCACCTTGATTTGCCCAGCCGGATACAACTGATGCGTTTATTGCATCAGCTTGCTAAAGAAACCAATAAAGCGATTTTACTTTCTACACATGAACTTGATTTAGCACTGCAGGTTGCTGACCAGATCTGGCTGATGAGCAGCGGCGGACAGCTGGATGCCGGGTTGCCAGAAGAACTGGTTTTAAACGGGGCTTTTCAACATGCATTTGAGAAAGATGGAATTGTCTTTGATGCGGCGAGCGGCACCTTTAATATTCATTATGCAGGGAAACGCGGTATTAAAGTGACAGGAGAGGGCGTTGCTGCTTTCTGGACTAAAAAGGCTCTGGTCAGAAATGGCTTTAGTATAGCTTCAGCAGCAACTCATCCCCTGAATGTTTCTATTAGCGGAGAAGGAGCAGATACGCTCTGGACTGTACAAAGATAATGAATCAGCTACTTATACTTCCTTGCGTGGATTTCTCCAGGCTGTAATACGCTGATCCTCCAAGGCATAACAACACATACCAACGCTTACACACCAATACTAATTATATGAATAAAAATTTACCTTTATTATTTAAAAACCTGCTTATAGGCACGGTTTTACTCAGCAGTTCTGCATTGGCGCAAGAAAAGAAAGCTGATTCCGTTAAGACTAATGCACTTGACGAAGTGGTAGTTACTTCTTCAAGAACGGAGATTAAAAGACGCCATGTGCCGCAAAGTATGACGGTCATCAGTAAAGCAGTAATAGATATGACTTCTTCGCAGGAAGTAACGGATCTATTGAAAAAGAATTCTTCCATCAGTATTGTACAATACCCGGGCCTTTCTTCTGGTATTGGTATCCGTGGTTTCAGGCCACAAACAAGCGGCTTAAATCAACGTTCTTTATTATTGGTTGATGGTCGTCCGGCAGGTACAGTAAGTATTGCCACGATTAATCCATCAGATATCGAACGTATTGAAGTACTTAAAGGGCCTGCTTCAGCTTTATATGGTTCATCGGCCATGGGCGGGGTAGTGAACATCATCACTAAAAAATCTTCTGGTGATATCCATGGAAATGTTTTTGCCGAATACGGTTCTTATGAAACTACTAAACTAGGTGCTTCAGCAGGTGGAAATATCAGTGAGAAATTAGATTTTGATTTGTCTTTCCTGAATTATGACAGGGCTAAAAATATGAAATTAGGAAATGGTAATTTGTTCAGAAAGATGCTTGGTGCTAATTCTGCGCTTTATAATTATACCACGGGACCTGTTGAAATGGATGATAAACGTTCTGATGGGTTGAGAAGAGACTATACAAAATTGAACTACAATACCGGAAGTTTGAGATTAGGTTATCAGTTTGATGCCAACTGGAGACTGGACGTTCGTGGAGAACGCTTTGTTGCCAAAAATGTAGAATCTCCGAGTGATATACAATTTGGAAACGGACAACCGAGTACAAAAGATATTGAACGTCATCATGAGGAAGCAACACTTTCCGGTACTATCGATCAGCACCATTTAACCTTGAAAGGATATACTTCTCAGGAAAATAACCTGAACAATACCTTACTGACTGTAAATGGACTTGTAGCACCTTATGCATCTTATAAAAGTGTAACCAGCTGGAAAGGTATACAGGCCAAAGATGCTTATCAGTTAGGTAATCATTCAGTAGTTTTTGGTCTGGATTATAGCAATGCCTCAACGAGCTCCCAATCTTTTAATCCTGATGGCTCTGAATCTGCTCCTTATTCTCCAAACTACAGCCTTTCTTCTGGTGCAGCTTATATTCAGGGGCAATTAAATTTTCTGGACAATAAATTAGTCATTAATCCAGGTGTACGTTTAGACCTGATTACTTATGATGTGAAGCAAACTCCATTGCTAACTACCTATGCTGGTGGAAAAAAAACGAATCCTTTTTTTAGCCCAAGTTTGGCCGCTCAATATTCGCTTAACAAGTTATTTACTGTTCATGCGACCACAGGCCGTGCTTTTGTAACACCAGATGCTTACAACGTAGCTGGTTATTCTGAAAAAGTTAAGGATGGTAAAGCAAGTGTGATCCAGGGAAATGCTGACCTGAAAAATGAGAATAGTATTTCATGGGATGCAGGTCTGAGATTCAATAAGTCTGAATGGGGACTGACTGCCGATTTCACTTATTACAATACTTATGTTAAAGACAGGATTACCACGCAGACCAGCGTACCTGTGCCGGCTGAAACTACACCAAGTGGTTTCCCAATTAGCAGCCGTATGACTTATATCAATGCAAATAAAGCAAATATCAATGGTTTCGAGGCTGAAGTTGCATGGGATTTCGGAACACTGGCAGCAAAAGACTATTCTTTAAAAGTTTTTGGAAATGCAACTAAATCATCTAAAGCTAAAGAGGTTACGATTGCAGCTAATGGTATTGAAACGACTAAGGACATTTATAATGTACCAAACTTTACTTCAAGTTATGGCTTTGAATTCAACAACCTGAAAGGGCTTGATCTAAGATTAAGCGGCAGATATGTTGGTAAACGTAAGGATACTGATTTTAATGACACTAAATTTCCTGAAATTGTTTACCCTGAATTTATGACAGCAGATTTTGCAGCCAGTTATACTTACAAGAAAAGACATACAGTTACTTTTCTGATGAATAACATTACAGACGAAAACTATTATGAAAAACGTGGATTTAACCTTGCAGGAAGGAACTTCTCTCTAAGATATAATATCAGTTTCTAAAA